CACACACACACACACACACACACACACACACACACACACACACACACTCGCAAGGAAACATCCGAGCAGACAAAAACAACACAAAGTGCACACACACACAACCTTACAAACACAAGGCCTCCAAATAGCATGTAACTGCGACACACACACACACACTAACATGGGAATACACAAGCACCTCTGGAAGCTGACACCGTTTGGAGCAGTCAGTCAGGGAGGAAAGTCACGTTAATGATTCTGAGAACACGATCCGGAGAGGCCATTTAGACAGCAAAGTCCACGACAGAGGGATCAGAAAGGTGTTCGTTCTCGCCCTCCAGGCTGCTCTGCACTCGGCGGAGCTTTCCTTCAGTGGTGGTGCAGATATATATGTTACATGAAGAGCGGCACAAAGGGCCGTCAGTGCCATAACACTAACATGTTATCCATTCGCTCTTCGTCTGTTTTATATTATAAGCTCACATTGTTTTGTTTACTTAGTCATAAAAGTTTTCTTCTTGTGAACCCTGAATTTCAGTTTGCTTGACAATGACTTATAACAACTTCAATTAAAGACTTATTTTCTCACATTGTTTCATTTGAATATACAATAAATAAACTTAATTTAATTGAATTATTTCCTACCCCGATAATCATTTAACAACCTCCACTTAGGGGAGTACTGAGCCCATGCTGGCTGGAAGCTTTAAAGGAATAGTTTGACATTTTGGGAAATTCACTTGATGAAATAATAGATACCACTTTGATATCTGTACAGTGAAAATGTAGCTGCAGAAACAGTCACAACCCTCTGTAAAGCATCATTTTGTCGTTTTACCAATTAAATAAACGAGATATAACGTGTTGATTAGTGAACGTTAGAGGTGCTGGTGTTTGTGCTAAGATAAGAAAGAAATATGTCGAGCTTTCCCTTTAAGTCTGAATTACACAACATCTGGGAAACAGGATAAAACCTTTCATTCATTGGCTGTAATGATGCTACAGTGACATCTGTTTGGCCCTTGAAGAAAGCACTCTTAAAAAATGCATTCATATTGCATCCAAAAAGGAGTAGCTGCTCGTAAATGATCAGTAATTATACTAATTATTAGAATATTGAAGTCTCTTTACCAATGACTTTAATTACAGCTAATCATTCATTATTTATTCATATCCATGGCACTCAAAGGAACATACCAGCACGACAAATCTATGGTTGTGATGGCAACTATCACGCCATTTAGCATTCAAATGTAATACATCTTAAATGAATCCGTCATATTATTCCAAAGTCTACCTTTAACTGCTTTTGTTCCATTGAATGACACAGTAATGAGACGTTGGCAGCAAAATGTGGACGCCTGAATGTGTGACTTCCCAAATAAAATATTTAAGTATGCCAAAAAAAAGAAAAACGAGCACACACAATAATCCAATTTGATGTCAACAAGACATTGGGGGGACAGAATGAGGAGACACTGGGCCACATGGGATAAGATAGGCCTGTTAAATAGAGGATGCTGCGCGCGTGCACACAGAGTGAGAGAGAGAGAGAGAGAGAGAGAGAGAGAGAGAGAGAGAGAGAGAGACCTGTCTTCTCATTACTTTGAGTTCCTCTGGACGCCTGGTTTTCTCAGCAAGAAGAGCGCCGCCTGCTGACGTCACCATTGCAATCAAACCAGCGCCAACTCACGCGCAACACAAACACAAAGCACGCACGTGTGTGCGCGTGTGTGTGCAGAGCTGCAGAGTGTGTGCGGTGCGCACAGGGAGGCGGAGCGCAGGGGGCGGTAGGGGGGAGAGTGGGATCACCACAGCGCAGCGGAGAGTCAGAGCACAGAAGCGGTCTGAGCTCAGGAGTAGAAGCACGCGCAACTCTCTCCATCTCGCGACTCGTGTGCCGGCCAGCAGTGAACGACACACACACACACACACACACACACACACACACACAGACTAACACAGTCAAGGACATACAGCGGGGAGTCTCCATCCAGGATTTTTGGATTCTTTTGTCATGGCATTTGTTTGGAAAGTAAATAAACAACGCACTCTGCAGGAGACAACTCATTCACAAAGATGAGTCACCGACAACATCCAGAGCTCTCTGTGGTCTTCACACGCGGGACAAAGTCCGGTAAGCTGCGCGATCCTCACCCACGGAGCGAGAAGCGTCTCTCGGTCACCTTCTGAAAGAAAGAAAAAAAGAAAAATGTCTCGTGGCGACGAGCGTCGCGCGCCAGAGCGCGTGTGAGTGACTGACCGATAGTCTTTCTGAGAGAGAGAGAAAGAGAGGCTGGATATAAACAGCAGCCGGGCTTCCAGGCAGCGACAGCCAGACACTCCGAGCAGCCCCCTCGCCTCTCTCTCAGCTCCGCACACCCATGCAGGATGCCCGGAGAGCGCCGGGGAGTCCTGGTCCAGCTCAGCCCGAGTTCATGACGCTCTGGGTGGCCTCGTCATGCGTCTCTTGCCCGAGCCCAGCGCCCAGTCCCTCCGGCTCCTCTTCCTCTTTGTCTTCGTGATGGGGGTGACCCCGTCTCCGGCTCTCACGGCCGGCTGCCCCGACAGATGCGTGTGCGACGACCAGCTGGTGGTCCAGTGCGCCGGGCAGGAGCTCACCCTGTTCCCCAACGACCTGCCCCTGGCGACCCGGCAGCTCATCATCTCCAACAACCGCATCGGGGACCTTCCGGCGCTGCAGCTCAACTACCTGTCCGATCTGGTCTATCTGGACTGCAGCAACAACTCCCTGACCGAGATCTCCGAGTCCACATTCGGGAATTTGCGGAAACTCGCCTACCTGGACATGTCGTTCAACACGCTGCTGCAGATCGAGGACCGGACTTTCGGGCCCCTGGCGTCCCTGGTGATGCTGCGGCTGACGGACAACCCGAGTCTCGGGGAGATCCACCCGGACGCCTTCTCGGAGAACATGGCTCTGCAGGTGCTGGACGTGAGCCGGAACAACCTGACGGCCCTCAACATCAGCAGCCTGATCGCCCTGCCCACTCTGCGGTCCCTAGGGCTCAGCGGGAACCCGTGGAGCTGCGACTGTGACACGGAGGACCTCTGCCTCTGGGTGCAGATCGAGGGCTTCAAGTTCCAAGGTGAGGATGGATGAAGTCAACACATATATGTCAGTGTCACACACACACACACACACACACACACTATAAACTATCAAAAATTAGAGTTATTTTCTTAAAAGACCACATTCCAAAAAGTGGCGTGTAAAACGAGGCCTGTTCATGTTCAGGTGTCAGCCGTCTGACCTCCTGCAGGTGATCCCTGGAAGCGGGGATCCTCTGTTCCTCTGCTATACGCCTGTACGAGCCAGAGACGCTCCAAGGTCTCATCGTTTGTTATTGTTACAACGGCTCATTTTAGATAATGTGATTGTGGGCGCTTGGTCAACTCGTCCCCAGCGACGGTGGGCCACTTATGGCTCCCCTCCCCTTTTAGTTTGTGCATATGTATGCATGGCCACACGTTGAGTTGCAGAGTCAGATGCAGACTCTCTCTCTCTCTCTCTCTCTCTCCGCTACACACACACACACACACACTCGGACTCCAGAGCTAATGGTTTGACCTCAGAGTCAGAGCAATCCGAAGATTTCTGTCCCTCCGCAACACAATCCGCCCTTCACGTCTCAATAATGTTTCGAGTTTAACCCAACGAATCAGCACACTTGTGTTACGCTTACTTGGAAACAGCCACCTTAGCCGTCTATTTCCTAAACAGGAGGATGATGCTTTGCTGGTAGAAGTTAATTGAGCTCAGTCCTCAGAAGGTGAACTGGTCTTGAAACAATGTTTGAGAACATCACATTGATCTTACTGCATTGCCTCTCTGGGTCCTAAAGGCGCGAGATAACGCTGAGAGGATGATTTTGTCCTTTTGTACCTGTTTTTTTCCCTTCTCTTTATGGCTAGCCTCTCCCATCTGCACACTTGTACAAACACACACACACACACACACACACACACGGCGTGTACCTGTGTGTGCGCTGGCGCTCCCACCGTCATATGCTTTGGCCCTTCAGTCCAGATGGTTAATGATGATGCTCAAAAAAGCTGGACTCCTATGCTCCCGTTAAGGACAGCGTGTTCGTGTGGTGTGTGTGTGTGTGTGTGTGTGTGTGTGACTCACTACAGTCAAGTGTGTGTGAGTCAGTGTGTGATCTGGAGGAGAGGAGACCCTAAGGCCGGGGCTTGTGGGAAACAGGAATGAGATTACTGTAAGGAGACGAGGGGCTTGAGATGGAAGGCCACTTGAAGACAGCAGCTCCCCAAAGTAGTTATCCACCTTTACTTTCACACTGCACTGAAGTACGCTCAAGAACTGGCACACACACACACACACACACACACACACACACACTGCACGCACTCTGCTCTGCTGTTCATACCACTAGAAGCCCAGTACTTACACAAACACATTTCTGTATAAAAGGAAAATGTTCTAAGAGAAGGGCTTTTGAATCGTAAGTGACACAACACACCGGCAGCTTATTGTTTCGCTTTGTCCTGTTTGAGTCACAGCTGATAATCATAGACTGTGTATATAAGAAGTGGACGTAGTCACCGTGACGTCACCCACTGGTTTGTGGACTACGGTTTGGAAGCCTCGAGTTTTTGTCATTATGGCCGCCGCCATCTTGGTTTTTTTCTGCCACCAGAAGTGACACGAGAGGGTGGAGCTAAGTCCAACCGAACGCTGAATGAAATTTTTAGGCGACAAAAGATGCTACAATGAACTTTCATGACCTGTAAACAAACTGTGAAAGGGTTAAAGTTTTAAGACGAAAACACCGACAACTCTCAGACCGGACAACGCTGCGGTAGCAGGAGTCGCCCCCTGATGGACATTAGACAGAATGCAAGTTTAAGGCACTTCACTTGACAGAATTGGAGGTTGCTAATAACTATAAAATCGCAGCTGTTTTTTTACCATCACTATACACTTTAAAAGTTCTAAACGTGACCAGAGGAGTTGGGACTGTAAACCCCTCAGGAACACACTTCACTGTTAAGACACGCTCCGTCTCTCAGACTCACGATAAATCACGTATCGATGTGCGATGTGGCACTCATAAACAACTCCGGGAACCGGTTTAACGGAGTGAATGGGGTCAAGTGAGTGAGTGTGTGTGTGTGTGTGTGTGAGTGTGTGAGGGCATGTCGAGTGTTTGTGTGGTCATGAATGCCCTCCGATCTGACTGCAGGGTTGTGAGTCTGATGTACAGAGATTCCAGCTGTCGCTGCCTCTCAGTTTGAATGTGAATCAGGTGCATGCAAGTGTGTGTGTGTGTGTGTGTGTGTGTGTGTGTGTGTGTGTGTGTGTGCTACCAGTCTTTACACTGTAGCTCATTTAGGACTCTTTAATATCACTGCTGATTGCCTAGGTTTTAATAAGCACTTTGATTATTGCTGGAACGATCTTCTGATTGAGTTTATTTGCTTTCAGTTGTAGTTCCAGTTGTAATGTCTTATTACAGCATTGTCTTGTGTTTGCTGTCGTGTTTAAGTAAGTTTCTCTTTGTCTGGCACGTGTCACTGAGAAAGGTTGATGTCGTTGCTTGACTCTCTGTGCCTTCAAAGTCATCGTGTGGCTCTTCAGGGAAGCAGCGAGCTTAGCAGGTGCGTTTAAGTCGTATGAGGGAGGAAGTGAGAAAGCACGAGATAGACAGAGTGGAGAGGACAGAGAAAGCGCAGAAAAGTCAAAGACACATTGATCTGAATAGGACATTCAGTGGGTTCTCTCTGAGCTGGTGGAGGTCGGTGCCTCTTGGTATGCTGGTTGTATGTGTTTTCCCCCCTGGACTGTTGCTGCAATGTCACATCTGCCTGAACTGCAGGACGTCAACAAATGTTGACAGATTTCTTTAGTGAGACAAATGATGTTGAAATGAAAGTTAAGGTTCACCTTCTGAGACGACTGCGTTTTAGTTTAAAGAAACACAAACGAGCCGGCTTATTCCCCCTTTACCAGAATGATAATGTGTGCAGACAGACTTATGCTGCGTTGACACTACGAGCAATACAGCACCAGGCTACAAGTCAATGGAAGCTAAACACTGAGCTTTAAGCAAAGCTCAGTGTTTCACCCTGTTCTGTTCCGGCTAAAAAAATGCAGTTAGCCAGTTCCCAGTGCTATTTAATGACATAAACTACGTCAACGAGTGCTTGAGCAACACTTCAACAGCGACTCAACGTCAATGTAAATATCAGACTAACTACCTGTGATGACAAATTCATGGTACTGTCCCTGGTGCTGAAGTAATTTAGACATTTTCTCTGAGTTTCGCCTTTCTGTCAGCTTCGTCTTGGATCTATAATATTCTATATATTCTATATATAATAACAAATATAGAGGCAAACGTGTCGTTCGTGGGGGAAGTTCGCCAATCCTGGGGGAACGAAACGAACCAGGTCTGTCCTCCCTGTTAAAAAGGGAATTGCCTGCTTGCCATAACAAATATTTTTTATAATAACAATCTATCAAATGACAATGTAAAAACAATGTGACGATGTGAAAGAGGTGAGAATCATCCTCTGAATATGCAGCTCTCCTCAAAGCCTATTATTTAGCTGTCCGGCTGCAATCTGACTGGTTCTCTCACCACTTTCATGGAGCTGTTTTCAGAGAAAAAAGCTCTTAAAAGCTCCCGTACACTATCTGCTCAGCTCCAAACAGCAGACAGAAACACAGTGAGGGACTCGCTGGTGCACATAGAGCAACATTTAGCAGCTAGAGAGCCAGATATTTCACTCAGGAGTTGGTGGAGACCAAAAACAGAGCTAAAGGAGAGAAAATATTTGACTTGTATTTGCCAGGTGGCCAAAAACACGACTTCAAATGAGTGATAATGTTTGCTCTGTGTCTCCTCGACACTTTGCATTCAAGCAATAGTTTCACATCACAGTACCGTTTGTCTGTGTCAAGATCTCCATGACCAGATCCCCGGCATACTAAAGAATTTAGGTGTTTAGCACTTTGCAGTTTGTTTGGATGCAGTCCATTTGGCTCCTTTGGAGTTTTGTGAATGTAACTGTGTCTCTGAACACTCACATGTGACAGAGTATTAACTGTCGGAGCTCCTTGTAGTTCATTTATATGCTGCTGGTTGGCATTCAGCCTTCTTTGACCTTGCCTGGATGGTGATGTTTGTGATTGAGAGTTACAGTTATACATCAAACCACAATATTCTCCAACATCAATTCTCCGTGCGCGGGGAGCGCACCTACGTTTCCTCCCTTGTCGTAATAGAATTTCCGCTTGTCGAATGACCTGCCGTACTCACTGTAGGTCGTTTTTGACCAGCGCTTCAGCTAAATGTACAGAATGTAAGTGGCTGGCAGAGTTGGTGGTGTTATGACTGTGTTTTTGGGGGCGGGGGGGAGTATTTCTGGCTGCTCGTCGGTGGCCTGGACAGCTCACAAACCCAGAGGCAAAGAGCCAAAGCGGAGGGCCACGCACGGGGCAAGAGTTAAATATTCATAAAAAGAGAAAGAGAAGAGGGCCACGGGTTCAGCGACCGGGAGGAATTAGAGGTTTTTACGCCAATTGAACTTGATTCATCCGAAATGAAAGCGAATCTTTGATGACTTGAGAGATGAGATCAGAGGACGAAAGAATAGAGGACGGAAAAGACGGAAAAAAAAAAACTGGGCAAACAGATTAAGACGGACTTTTGCAACAGAGAGATGCAGAGAGTGAGAGAGAAGACAAAAGGATCGTCTGCGCCCCGGATCTGTCACTCCAATCCGTTAAAGCATTTATTATGACAAGGAGGCATCGATTCAGTTTAATACAGGTAGATGATACATTATTTATCAGCTGGAACGATTCCTCGGACCCATCTGGTGCGGAGAAGCGGATCAAATTCAGCTGGCCTACTTGTGTGGTGTGGCCTGCGTATGTTTTTTAGGTCTCTGTGCATTTTATTTCCGAAACCAAGATTGATGAGATGCTCGTGTGGGTGTGTTTGTGATGTGATCACCTGAGGCACGGAGGCGAGGTCGCTCAGGTGTGTGAGACAGTGTGTGTGTGTGTGTGTGTGTGTGTGTGTGTCCAACTAATATGCGGGCCAAGAGAATACAATTGGAAAAGGGAAGGGGAGAGTGCAAAGATGACGGAGCAAAACTGAGAGAAATGGAAGGACGTAGAAGAAGAAGAAGAAGAAGAAGAAGGGAAATAGGGTGATAAAGGCTGAAGGGAGAATAAATGTTAAGCGTGCCAGAGTGGGAATGAAAAGTGTGAGGTGATAAAGAGAGGACGACTGATAAGAAGAGCGATAGAGGGAAGAGGAGAGAGAGAGAGAGAGCTGTTGCTATCTGACCTTCACTCTCTCTCTCTCTCTCCCTCCACTGATCCTCCGCCAGAGGAAGAAGGGATCTAATGGAGAAATGATGGAAAGGAGGGTGGCTGTAATCTGACTAATGCCGTATTTGAGAGGAGAGGAATCAGAAGGCGTGTGTCGTTCAGGTCTGTGGTGGATGTGATGGAGAAAAGGTCAGCTATTCTTAGTCCTAGCCAAACCCCCGGTATGGTGCGTTTAAACGGCGAGGTGCTGGAGCTTCGCCAAGAGGGGAGGGGCCTAAAAAGTCGGACATCTTATATCGTAGACGTCCAGTAAGCAGTCGCCTGTAAAATATAGTTGAGTTTGTAACATGTCCACACTATAAGCATTTATTTTAATGTCTATGTTTCAAACTAAATGTTGATAAATGCACATCTGGTTGTTGAAGCAGATCCTGTGAAAGAGAGGGTTGAG